TTTAGAAAAATTGTTCTGCATTCTGTTTGAATTATTTTTTCTTAAACTCAAGTTTGGCCTGACATTATTGGTCTCTATTTCTCTATGTATAACTCAAAGTCTTGGTATGTTCCACTGACTCAAGCTATCAAGTTACCATAACTAACCAATCATTTTTATCCTACACTTGAACCAAAATATTAGTCGCTAGCTAGAGCGTCTAGGAAAAAATACAAATAGAGATATGAAATTAAGCTCATGCAATGGCAGCCAAAACACCGACCATAGGAGCAACCGTGACGGTATCAGGCTCGCCGTGCTGAAAATCAGACCGTTCATCGTCATAAGCATCATTCTCGTCCGGTCCACCAACAATTGCTCCAACCAAAACATTAGGGTTCGGATTAGGATTGTTGTACCAAGCTTGAAACCCTTCATTGCATGCCATTGGTTTAGCATCTTTCTTGATTGACACTATAGAGGCTCCTCTATGGTGTGGTCTTTTAGGATAATTGGTCCCTAATCCGACCATGTAACTCATGCTCTTGGGGTTTGATCCAAGTATGTAGTCTACCTGTTGCATTAACCATGTGATTATCAGCTATAACTTCTCAATACCTAATAAAACCAAAGAACTCAAACTATATAAAGTGAATTGAATAACCGAATGCCTGCCTAACCTGAGCTCGAGCGAGTTCGAGAAGATCAGAAGCTTGAAGGACACCATTGGGGCACTGGACGGATGCTTGTGAAACCTCAAGGTATTTAGCATAAGTGGCTAAGACGAAAGAAGCAGTAGTTGTGTACTGGAGGTTGTCCCACGGCAAGAACCAGAGCAAACCTCCCGGAGTCTTCTTAACGTTATTGAAACCCTTTTGAGCACAATTGCAGATGAATTGCTCCGCCATACTCTTGTACTCTGCGATCTTCCCTTCGTTCTTCACTTTCCCTTCAAACACAAGCTGCATTTGCGAAAACTCGCATGTTAAATGATTGTTTCTTGTTGCGTAAGTTAGTGCTATGTTTTTAGTGAAAGTCTACATTAACCTACCTTGGAGACCAAGACTTGTGCACCCAAGAATTTATCATCCCATGCAAAAACGAACCTCGCACCTCCGCTACCCGAAGCTTGTGTTAGATAATCGAGATAAGTCTGGTCTCCGGTGGCTCGGTGAAGCCAAGCCGCGGCCCACAACAACTCATCTTCATAACCACTGCTCGGGTAAAAGCCAGCCGCGTTAGGAATGGAGCTTTGATAAACCCCGGGGTGATCTTTACCGAATTCAAATAGATCTCTCGCGTGATCAATGAGAGTTTTCGCGTAAGCTACGTTAAAAGGCTCAAAGGCCAAAGAAGCTGCCGCCATAGCAGCAGATGTCTCGCCTGCCAAATCAGCACCAGGATGCTGAGCATCGATGCGATATGAAGGACGCGGAGTTGTCATATCTTCAGGTCTCATCCAACACGCATGGTCCGAGTTAGCATCTCCCACTTGTCCGTATAGGACATTTGGTTCGGGATGGGCTTTAATGAGATAGTCCGTGGCCCACTTAAGAGCCGCGAGAACGTTTTCGTGCTCCTCGCGGGCCTTAAGTTGCGATGCCATCTCTACACTGCTCCAAGCTAACATTGTTGTAGTGAACGCCAAAGGAAATCCAAACTTCATATTGTCTCCAGCATCGTAATACCCTCCGGTTAGATCAATCTAAAACATACCAAATATTTTATACTTCAACTAACAAAGATTCATTACAAAAAGAAATGAAAATAACAATGGAAGTTAAAAATGATTAGGTATTGAAATTACATGAGCATCAGAACCATCTCTAAGTGCAGAATCTCCTCTCCAACTAACTCTTTGGTTCGGTGGCAATTTTCCAGAACGTTGAGCTTCGAAATACAAAAGACTCTTTGTGAGAGCTTCTCCATAGAGTGATGAATCTGCAGAAACATATCCATGAGAAATCGATAATAATACTAACACAATGCTTTTGATTGTGAGGAAGCATTGTGATGATCCATTTTTTCTGTTTGTTAAACAAGACATGAATTTAAAATCTTTTTTTTTTGTTTACTAAGAATGACAAAGTACAGTACTTGCTC